TTTATCAAGTGCAGACGCTTTGGGAGTGAGGTGCCGAAAAGTTTTTTAATTATTTACAAAAAAACAAGCGGCACGTTTTGCCTTTGTGCTTGCCTCGGTTTCGTTTTTGTGGCACTCGAAGTATTTGCCTTTGTTGAGGCCAAAATATTTGACAAAACTTTGAATCGAGTGTTGATTTATTAAATTGTTTAGTCGCAACGGCAGGCCGACAGCCAAGGACGCTCGAAAGGAGCCAAATCAGGAGCAGGAGCAGGAGCAGGAGTGCGCATTAGCGACACCTGTCCGACAGAGACATCTGTGCGAACCCAGGAGCACGGTCCATTGGTTCCATTATAAGAGCTGATCCACACTGAGCCAGGCAGCTTGTTTACAACTTGTCTATTTTTAGTGCCTCCCCTTTTTCCCCCACCAAATGAATATCCGTTCAAAACATCGAGAAAAGTTGAGCAGCCACCGAGCTTAACTAGTTAAAGCTCGGTGACACTTTTTGTGAGACCCAAAAACTTTTTAATTAGCATTAGTGCCTAACGAATCCCTGCCCCACTCTGAATATGATATTAATAGTTAAAAACATATTTACCAAATGATATACCCAGGGACTGACGTTGGCCTAGGTTGCGTAACCATATCCCAAAATTCAAACGAAAAACTGGCAAATATTTGCCAGATGTTGGGCTTCCATCGTCACATTTTCACAGGGAAGTGTAATAAGTTACCTGTTTAAGGTGAGGTGGCTTTGGTAAAGCTATTAAGCTACTGTCAATCCTTTAGTGTGATCAAAATCGCAAGAAAATATGTCAAAGTAACTTTGATTGAATTGAATTGCAACTTTAAAAGCAAAAATAACTTGTTATATTAAAAGTTTAGAGTGGATGGCACTTTCATGTTGCTCCTTTCATTATATCCTGTCCATAAAGTTTTGCTAGTGTGCGTCCTTAATTTAAAATAGTGTAAGGAGCACACATTCGGCTTTTACTTAAATCAGAACTGTTTATAAAAAATACTGTTCAATCGTATTTAAAAAAAGGTTGCATTTGCCAACATTGTTTATTTGTATCCCTAATATGAGCAAAACAACCAGACAAAACTACTTTTAGCCAATTGTTGTATTTAAAATATCCATTTGTGAGAAATTGTTGTGATCGGGCCCCGACAAAAGGCAGTCTTTGTCCGACAAAGGACTATCGAGCTGCTTTCCAGGGCTAAAAATAAATAAATAATGCGCCTGGACTTGGCCCACAACACTGCGTATACGTGATAAGGCATTGTGTGCAAGTGGGCAAAGTGTGTGCCTGTGGTTTTCGGGGCCTCACCCTGCGAACCTTTGCCCAGGCCAGGCATCTTGAACTCCAGCTGCGTCTCTGTTTGTCCAGCAGTTTCACTGGCCTGTGCCTCCTTTGTTTGTCTTGTATTTGCCAACATATGCTAGCCTTGGGTTACAAATGTCCGTGCCTTTAATTTGCAACCATCTGGGCGAGCGAGCACCGAATTTGTAGACTCGTTTTTCATTTTGCATAATAAATGAAAGGAAAACAGCCAGCGATAAGCAAACGGAGACGAATGTGCCAAAGTCCAACCGCAAAGTCATTGGTACATTTGTCTTCGCAGATCAACTCTTCCCGTCCGCAACAAAATACGTTTTGGTTTTTTTGTGGCCATGGGAAGTTCGCTATTCCGCAGTAAGTTGCGGATATGCAGGCCAACTACGGGCACTCGTTGGCATCGTTGGCACTCTTGCATAATTTATGAGGAATATGAAACTATGCATAGTAGATGAGCGTTGACAGAGTCAAAGACTTCGGACAGATGTAGGACAAGCTTAAGCGAAGCAAATACTTGAGAAATGAGGTGCTCTAAGAAGGACAGAACTAAAATCAATGACATATTAAGTATGAACCCATTGTAACTTTTAGATATATTACTTTAAGTTTACTTTTATCTATGTCATATAATTGTTATTGTAAAAGTCTTATTTATTTGGTTTTTGTTTAAGACAAAAAACTGCAATTTTTATTTTACGCTTACATTTGCCTTTTAAAAATTAACTAAAACTGCAATTTAACAATTTAAGTGACTTTTTAAAATTCACTTTTGTTTTAGGAAATACAATTTTCTTCATTTTTCCCCGTTGGTTCATAAACGTTATGGTAAGAAGCTACCTACAACCTAACATAGCTGCAATCCCCATTGTTGCTGCTGTTCTGGGGACTTAAGAGAGATTTTCAAACAGCAACACCAGACGGCAAAGGGAAGGAGGCTTATAACTAACGCCTGTTGCCGCTGGCCACGTCAAAGGGAGTCCTGACTTAACGCCTTATGCAAGGATTTGGCTCACAGCCCGACAATGACGACAAGCGGCTCAGAAGAGAGGCGGCGGTCGGGAGGGCATAGCTCACTCACAGGTGAGTTTGTTAGCTTTTAAAGTTAGTACACACAAAGCAACACATGCACACTATGCATGCTCAAAGGCTCAAAGCCTGGTCGTTGGTAAACTTTTAATCATTGCAAAGACAACGTGCCGCTTTGTGGCATTAGCCAAAACTTTGGAAATCATTCTAGACCAACCACTGGGCATAATATTGCAGGGCTGCTCATATTAAACCCAACAACTGCGTGGGCAGAAATCCTGCGTGGGCAGTAGGCAAGCATATGTATTTACTTGAGCACGAAATTGACTTTCGCTTTCTTGGCCTTCGACAGATTCTTATTTAAATTGTGGGCCAGCAATTACAATCAGCGGGGAACGAGATTTATTTAGATTTGCACGGCAATAGCTGACTGAGTCTAACGTTTTACTACCGATAAGGTCGTAACATCAAAGGCAATGAAATCTAAACACAGTCATCGTCAAAGTCCCACAGATAAGATGCGGCGTATACGCAATATCGATTGGAATGAGAGCAAAAGTGTGTTCCCGGTCCCTCCGTGAGTTTGCCCTGGGTAAGCACCCACATTCGGTTTGGGATACATTTTGATTTGTATGCGGCGATAGCGTTTGACGTAAAAGCAACAGATTTCAATCGAGTTTTTTCGTTGTTTTTTGTTACTTCTACATGTGCCGCAATTTTATTACAAGGACCACACCCACGCAGTGCCATGGGATTTTTGGCAATTATCTAAAATCAAGTTCGAAGTCCGACAGAAAGGCCAACAGGCTGCCATTTGTCGGGTGCCTATTTTTAAAACGTCGACCAGGAAAATCAATTAGTTCTGATAGGAAATACTTTTGGGATTAGAGTGGGGAATAACGAAATCAATAAATATTTACCAGAGGCTCGACAACAAAATAATTGGAGAGAAAATACTTATGCTTAATTGCGATTGCTAAGGGGAAAAGTTCAACAGCCATTTTTTAAGATTGCTTTACGACTCCTTTTTCCAAAGAAAATCATTCCGAGGCAATTAGTCCTGGAACAGGACTCGTGTATACGCTTGTGCAGTGTCCATGGCAACTATGGCAAGCAATCAGCTTTGCTGCGGATGGGGGCGGATGAGATTGCGCCATTGCAAACAGCATCGATGTCGCAATAGAGCCAGCGGCTAACAAGGACATCTCCCAGTTGAAGGAACGTGGAGGTGGGGCCTCAGGTGATGGTTGGATATCCACTTACCAAGAAGTAGGCGAGTTAATTGGTTCTAGCGCCTGCCTTTGTCGACCCTCTTGTCCCCTGTTCCCCTAACAGTTGGTCCAATCGCACTCTAGTTGTTATTGATGTACATAATTAATTGCGTCTGCTCTTCTCTGGAATTCGCATTAATCCTGCAATCACCGAGTGATACATTTACCTAATCTGTGGCCGTGCAACAAGTGCGCGTCATAGCTGTCAACCGCTGACAGGATTGGGCAATGCATAACTTTGACGGATGCCAGCCGCATAACATGGTCCCAGTAGGATCGCAATGCTGTCGGGATTATAGAACACTTACTAGCCTTGCACTGAGAATAAATAAATATGGTTACCGCAACACGTATGTTATTTCAATTAAAAGTTTAAGTAGTGCGGAAAGCAAATTGCTGTAGTAATAATGTAAATTTAATAAACATTTGCAACGCAGTTAAAGAGACATTTCCGACCCTATAAAGTATCCATATATTATTGATCTGTATCACTAGGAGAGTCGATTTAGAGATGTCTGTCTGACCGTTCCTACGCAAACTTGTTTCCCAGGTTTGTGTTTCTAATGCAGTAAGGATATAATTAAGCCGATTCATACTACTAAATCACATAAATCCCACTGGAACAATATTTGAACAAATTATAACTGCGCTGCTTTTCCCTTTATTTGAATATACTTTGAGAAATATCTATTGTTCAATGCATCAGTACTAAGGATTTAAATTTATTTAAATTTAAAAATCTATAAATCGTTGTTTCAAAAATCGCTTAATTTCTTGTAAGATTTTATTTAAATTTTAAATGATAAACAGAAGCTATAAGGGAAGGAATAATTTTGTTATGGATAAATTTTAAATTTTGTTTACATAATTAGAGATTGGGATTAATGGGATAAAGTTCAATCTAGTGTTTTTTAATTTATTTTCACCAGTGTTAAAAACAGGTCAGCATGTCGCAAACAGAAGATAATTTAGAGTGAAATTACCGACCTATAATGATGCTATTTCCCCCCCATGTGGGACTATGTGTAGAAGTTTATTTTCGCCACTTTGACCTTGGCTCGAATGCAATCGCTGTTTAGCATGCAATGCGCAAATTTGCGCCTAGCAGTATGCAACGGAAACTCCGCTCTGCCGACGGAAGTTGGCCAATGCCATAGCCGAAAACGGCGGCAAAAAGCCAGTGTGAATTTGGGCACGCTCCTGTCACCCACATAAACGCTCATTCACACAATCACACAAACACTCAGACACGGAGACACAGAAGCATGAGCGGCCCACGAGCAATCACAATTAACGCCTGTCAACCTGAAACGCTGGCAACCTGCCTCAAAGACCCGGCCGTCGGCAGTATAATCATTGATTTTTCACAGAGTCCACTTACCGGGCCTAGGTTTTCGAAGCCGTACTTGTCGGCCACTTCATGGGCGAACCCGTTGGCCACTCCGCGCCGGAAGCGCACCAGGAAGGAGCTGGTGAACACGGACGGACCGCTCAGTCCGACACCGCCTGCTCCTCCTCCCGCTCCCGCACTGGCCAAGTGGAGGAGCAGGAATGGGGCCAACAGCCAGCTCCATGCGGCTGCTGCCATGGAGTTCAGATTGAGCGCCTTGTTTCTCCTGGGTTTCTCCTGGCTCCTAGCTCCTGGTGACGATGGGGCAACGCTGGCAGCTCGGGGGGTGTCCTTTGGTGGGGCTATTAAGGGCTGATGGGGTGACGAAAATAGGCGCCGCGCTTCACTGCACTCTCAGTGTTTTGTTCGCCTTCGAGTGGAACCAGGATCAAGTTACTCGGCTGGAAAACTGACTTGGTGGTGGCTGCAATTTGTTTTCCTTAATCCTGCTCCGTGTGTAATTGTGCCCCTCCTGCGGAGATTGTTGTGCTTTCCTTCCGCTTGTAGTTTTAGTTATTACTTTTGTGTGAGCTCTTGGTGCGCTGCCACAAACTTCACTGGGGCGCTGCGCGTTGAGAACTGTTTGCCAGCGGTATCGACGGACGCCATTATGAATGTCCGTCAGGCGACGCGGCGGAGGAAAAGCTCGCTCGAAAGCTCGGAAAAGCAGCCGAAGCGCAAGCCGCCGCTACCCACTCAACGCACCCCTAAGCGCACCTGCTGCTGTCCCGCTCGCTCCCGCAGTGGAGTACGCAGGACATCGTCAACGGGGCGTATTGACAATTTGTTTAATGTTTGCACTACTAAATTAGAAATGCACATTTCAAAATCACAACAAAATTGTGAAGAAAGAGAAAGAAATTAAAAAAAACAATAACTAATTATGTTAATTCTTGATCAAAATTAATCTAAGGAATACCTATAAAAAATGTACTAACCTTAAAATTCAATCCCCAAGTTAGCTTCATTAACAATTAAATTATTTACTTGTATTCAATTAGGTGCGAAATAAAGATTCTTACAGAAATAACTACAGTTAAATTCATACAAAAATTAATTATTTTCTGGAAAAATAAAGTTAATAAGATGTTGTAAACTTCATTAAAATTTCCAAACGAATCTTACAAAAAACATAATATATACCAAAATTGCTACGTAAAATAATTTCGAACCCCCAAAAAAATATATTAGCACGCCACTGAGTAACCGAAATTGCTCAGCTGCGTTAGCTAAGCTTTTACTTTGGCTTTTTTCTCGAACTCCGGCTTTCCTTCACGGCTGACTTGGCTTTTGCAGCGGTTCTAGCGGCCCGTAGACGTCACCACTTTGGCCACCCACAACCACTCCCGTTTTGTACTAAATTAAAGCAACTGTTTTGCCATTGGTTTATGCTCCTCCATGAACATATGGCAGCATACTTGACTTTCGCCGACTTTCGACTCGATTCGACTTTAGTCTCCGTCGCCTGCAGAACTCAAAGGGACGACTATTCATAAACACGAACGCAATTGCCTCTTACGCGTAATAGCTGCACAAAGGGCTTCAACTTTGACCTTAGCCCAAATAGGTTCATAAAGCCACCAGCACAGAGCCCAAGCCTTTAAACTGCAGGCCAAGCAGAAGCGAAGACCGCTGTGGGGCAACTTTCGCCGGCTTTTTATGCCAGCTTGATTGTTTCAACGACGTTTAAGTGCGAGATGGGAATTCTCATATTTTGATTTCATTTGCCATAAATTCTTCTTTCCAGGGAAATCCCTTTTTGGCTGCCTCATTGAATTTTAAACATAAATTTATATACTTTTCAAAAATTGATGGTGAGGATAATACCAGCTTGACTGGATAAGAATAAATTCTAATTATAAAATCAAGTGAAGTATTTATTGGTTTAGTATTTCATGTAAAAGTAACTTAAACATCAAGATGCTTTGAATAATCCTAATGGAAATTATGTAAATGTATATGATAATATTAATAAAATATGGTCATTAAAATGTAAAATAAGACACTAGCTAGTTGCAATTGAAAATTTGCGTTTAATTTCCTGTTGAAGTGTAGCATTTATTTTTAGGCTTATGTCATATCAATACTTGGAGAAGGGTTCCATTATTTTACCAATTTAAATTCTCAATTTAATGATAGTTTGATTAATTCCTTAAGCAACTCTGGAAAAAAAGCGAAATGAGAAAGATCGCTTAAGATGAGTGTCCCGACTAAAAGATACTTTTTTCACTGCTGTGCAATATATATATTCCCTATGCAAACATATAAATTCTGCCTTTTTTTGTTATATAAATATATATTGATACTTTAGTAGGCAGAGCCTTTGAGCTTTGTTCCTATGATCTTGATTCTATACCGCTGACTGATGCACGTACTTACACAATTAAATACTAATTTAATAGAGTTAGCAAGCTGTCTTTCAAAAAACTTAAAGCGGAGGTGAATTCGATCTGACCCATATGTATAGCCACTGAGGAATATTTAACAAGAAAACCTTCGCCTACTTTTCAATTAAATTAAAACACTCTCGCACTCAACGCGTGCCCTATCGGTGAATGAAAGCTCAACCGGGGACCGAAAACAGCTCGCTGGATGTCGGTGACCAGTCGCATCCACCTGTCTGTCCGTGGCACCTGTGCTTGTGGTGGGCGGCGCATCGCCAGCCCGATAATGCCGAGCATATGGCGGGTCGCATGCGCCGAACCGTCGCGCACAAACATTCGACGCGACAATTGAGGGACCTGCTTTAAATTACAATTAATTTTTAATTAGCCTTAAGTTTACATTTACAAAGACGCTTAAGAGCCGTATGAATCAATTAGCGTACTCGTATACAGGCATTAATGCAAAATGGTCAAGGAAACGACTAACGCAAGCCGAGCGAAACAAAACGAAAATGCTTAAATCTTACTTTGCTCATCACAATCGGTACTCGCTGAGGGGAAGCTGATGTTTGGGGTTCTTGTTTATACTTTATCGGGCATCATTTCCGACTGCCGCGCGCTGTTGGAAACAAAAGCGATCAGCTTTCTTTAGCTTATGCATTCTATAACTTCACTTGGAACTTACCATGCGATGTGGCTGGAGACAGGGCATGTGAGCTGGCATGGCGCTTGATGCGCGGAGTACTCTTCAGTTCGGATCTGGACGAGGAGGAGGAGGCACTTGTAATGGTGTCCGGTCCGTTGCCGGCCATCACATTGGTGAGGGTGGACACTCCGCTCGAGGAGCTCGCAGTGGTGGGCATGGATTTGTAGCGCTGCAGCGAGGTGCGCGGCTTCTTGGGCATCGTGGCCTGCTGCACTGCCTCCTCCAGGGCGGTTAGCCAGTCCTCGCTCTCGCTCTCGTCCTCCAGAAACTTCATGTAGAACGAGGGTCGCTTCGTCTTGTGGTGGCTGGTTGGTGTGGTGCTTGTGCTTGGCTTCGACGCATCTGGGGGTTCTATCTTGGACTCCAGCTGCTGGGACGCCTCGAGGAGGAAGAGATCCGTCTCCGAGTCGTTCAGGAAGTCTGCCATGGGATCGGCGGCAGCTGGAGGAGGAGGAGGCACTGGCTCTGGAATTGGAGAAGCCCGCTTGCAGGCTGATCTTGTGCGAGCAGATAAAGTTGGCGGGATCTTGGGGGTTTGGAGTGGGACTGGGACTGCCTCCGACACTGCTACCTGGTCCATCTGGCTGTTGAGCCTGGCGCAGCGCTCCTTGAGAAGCACATTGGCCCGCATCTGCTGCGCCCGCCACTGCTCATTGTCCAGTTGGCTGCGTCGATCCTCGCAGCCCTTGAAGGCGATCTGGCGCCGCCGCTCGCGCTGGCTCAGACTGCCCATTTCCGCGGAATCGAATCCGCTGTCCGTGGTGGCGTTGCTGCTCCGGTTCCAGCGCCATCCCACCTCCGGACTTTCGGTGGCCAGCGTCTGCGAGAAGAGGCAGTTGGGCGATAGGCTGATGTCCAGGCGGGGCGAGAAGTCCACGCTGTCGTCCAGGCTGGGATTGTGCTTGTGCGGCGGGGTGCATTCGACATCGGAAGTGCTGCCCACCATTGAGGAGGCGTTGGGCGAGCCAGGAGTCTCCTGGGAGACGCTCACATCGTGTCCGCTTCCTGGGCGCCCGCAGCTCTGTGGCGAAGCTGTTCGAAAATTAGGTTTTACGGGGTTTTCTGGGTGCTATAGCACTGATAATGCACTCACCACTGTGGCGTTTCTGCAGCAGACGAGTGCTAAGCGTCAAAGAGCGCCGTTTAATAAATGCATTCTCCATTTAATTACATTTATTTGTTTTTCGTGCGTCGTAGAATGCGCTCAAAATTAAAGTCGAAAACAGCGTTGCCAGATGACATTAGTCAATATATATATGGCAACACTGGCCTTGACTATATCGATCCAGTTCGATAGGCAAACGTATTTATCGAACCAGTTGATGTAAACTTTTAACAAATAAAGGTGATAAATATTTTTATTAGGAAATCCAAAGAGCACCAGGTGTCACAGCGGCACATTTGTTTTAAAAGTGAAGAATGTCATCGGTTCGATAGACAGACGCGACAATCGAACCGAGAAAAGAGTTGCCAAGCTTTTTATCACGAATGCCGCTGAGCAGTGTGACCAGTTGCGGATGGTGACATTCTCCCCAAAAAGAGAAACGGGCACACTGCGCGAATCGTATGGTGATGTGTTAAAACCAAAATTTTGAATACAATTCACGGAGCCAGGAAGATGAACTACAATCCGAACGCGGGTATGCGGAACCGTAAGTGGGAGAACTGTAAGGATCAGGCTACGCAAGCAAGTATACCCGAAGGAAGCCCGGTGCAGCCACTCCGGAAGCTCCTTATCCGCCGACCGGAATCCAGAGGCAGCCGGAGTGCTGGCACTGTTTACACCGTTATAAGTTACGCCCCCCACCCGTTTTGTGATCCGCTCCTGCCACCGCCCACTGACCTCCGCATCCCGGCTCCCGCATCCCGTTTTTGTGCTGTGCCCGAGTTTCTGTTTCGTGCTGCGTGTGTAGCTTGATTGCCTGTGTTCCCCCGCTTTCCCAATTGCCTCGCCAAGATCCTCCGGCACTAACCCACGGTTGCTCTATCCCAAAATAGCCCCAGCTGCCGGTCGCCCAAGGCCGTCGAAACGTGTCAGCGATGTGAACGCCATGGGCCCCACGGCCCCGATGATGGGCGGTGGCGCCACCTTCATGGCCCCGCCAGCCGGCCCTGGAATGCTGGACCCCAACATGTACGGAGCACCGGCTCCGGCGCCGATCAACAGCTACGGCTTTGACCAGCCATCGCAGCACATGCAGCAGCCGCAGCATCCGCCACAACAGCAAACAGGTTATGGCTACGGAGCACCACCCCAGCCCCAGCAAGCGGCCGCTCCGCCCGCCTTCGGAATGGGCGCTCCACAGCCGGGTGGCCAGGCACCCATGCCTACTGGACAGTACCCACAGTTCGCCATGTTCCAGCAGCCCATCGTCCAGGACATGGCCATGCAGTACGGCCAGCGGCTGGCAGATCAGGGCAAGCAGCTGGTGGAGAACCAGTTCGAGAAGTGGGTGCCCGTGGCCAAGCTCAAGTACTACTTTGCCGTGGACAACGCCTACGTGGGCAGGAAGCTGCGCCTGCTCTTCTTCCCCTACATCCACAAGGTGCGACCTGATCATATCGGATTTTAAGTCTTCAATTATGATTATAAACCATTTCAGGACTGGTCCCTGCGGTACGACCAAGAGCACCCAGTGCAGCCGCGCTACGATGTCAATGCCCCGGATCTCTATCTGCCCACCATGGGCTACATCACGTACGTGATCGTGGCGGGTCTGCTGCTGGGCATGCAGAAGCGCTTCTCGCCGGAGCAGCTCGGCATCCAGGCGTCCAGCGCCATGGCCTACAGCATTTTCGAACTGGTCATCTACTCCATAGCCCTGTACGTGATGAATGTGAAGACGAGCTTGAAGACCCTGGATCTGCTGGCCTTCACGGGCTATAAGTACGTGAATATAGTCGTCTGCCTAATGGCCAGCACGCTGTTCTTCAAGTCCGGCTACTTTATAGCGCTGGCCTACACCAGTTTCTCCTTCGGCTTTTTCCTAGTGAGTTCGTGTAATATATTTTTTTAAGGTGGATAAACAATAATATCTCGTTTCCTGCCAGCTGCGCACCCTGCGGACGAAGCTGCTGCAGGACAATTCACCAGCTGCCCCCAGCGGAGCCATTAACTACGATCCTTACGGGAATCCGCAGCAGTTCGACTACAGCGGCGGGAAAAAGCGGAAGCTCTACTTCCTGTTCATGGTCGTCGTGGGCCAAGCCCTGTTCGCCTTTCTCCTCTCCAAGCACTTGTATCTGCCCGAGGCGGAGATGCTGGCGATGCCCAAGACCTTCTAACCACCAGGCTTGATAGATTAATTTGCCGACTTCTCCTTGGGTTAACCGGGATCGGGAAGCCAACGTGCATGTTGAGCGGTTCGTTCCGGAGGCCAAGGCCAAGTCATTTCCAGCATGTCAAATCCCCTCAGTTGTAGTTGTAGTGTGGTAGAAGCGATCAACTGAGATTCGCGCGAGATAAGCATATTTTTGTTAGTAACGAAACACATTTTATAAATAAATACCAGCTACAAAATCGAATTTTTTATATAATTTTATTGAAATTGTAGTCTCTTTTACTGTAACGTGTTCTTGGTTGGTTGGTTGGTTGCTCTGCTCTGCTCTGCTCATTGTTAACTTATTGGCTAACTTCGCAAATTGCCGCTAGTTTATCCTGGTTCGTTATAAAATATATGTGTTGCTGAGTGTCTGGCTGTATGAAATGTTTGCTGTGGTTTCTGATTTCAGATTTCAGTTAGCCGATTTTCGACTACCAGTTCCTGCGTCTGCATTTAGTCTAATTTGTTCGGCTGTTGTCGGTGCGTCAGCATGCTAAAACGTTGCACTCGGCTTGCATCGAAAATAAAAGGCATACGAATCCGTAGTAATAGTAATGATAACAGTTCCTACTTTAGGTTAGTTCGTGAGTTTACATAGTTAGATAGTTCGTCGTTGGTTAGTTGGGGACTTCGACTGCAACTCAGTCAGTACATAGCACAATGTGAAAAAATCGTCCTTTTCTCGTACAAATTCGCTAGCTTAACTCCTGGGCCTTGTGATTTCCTCTACTTGATTCTGTTTACTTTAGTTCGCTAATGCAGTTCGCTTCTTCGTTCTCTTGCTTTATTTATCGCGTGTAGTGTAGGCTAGCACTTAGTAAATAGTTATAAACATGCTTTGCTTTGTTTTCAACAAATTCCACGTACTAAAAAAATAATACATTTACAACTAATAATTTAGATTAAACATATACGTTTGTTCTGTTGCCTGATGCTGCGTATAGATCGTAGTTATGTTGTACATAGCTATATATCGTATATATATATGTATATATATTACGGGTGTACGGTGTGTGTGTGTGTGTGTGTGTGTCTGTGTGTGGTTCATAAACTCATTTAGGCTACATTTGGAATACAAAATACGCAACATAAAAACCTTTAAAACTCTTGCTCCTATGAATAAATTATCGAAATCAATCGCCTAGCTTTAACCTAGATCACCGACTGCTTCTGCTTCTGCTCCTGCTCCCGCTGCTCCTGCTCCCGCTGCTCCTGCTGCTCCTGCTGCTTGACAAGATTACGCTGATAGTTGACCAAGTTCACTTTAGTGAACTAAATTACCGTCCCGCCGGTCGCCGCCGTCTGACCAGGAGACAGATGCTGAGGAGCGTGCTGAAAAAGAAGACATTTTGTAGTTAACTATACGATTAATAACATTTTGTATATTGATTTATAGATCCGCTTTCACATAAAACATCTTGCTAGCATTAGCCATTACAAAAATTTGATCAACTTTATACTAAATAGATAATAGATAGATAATAATAGATAGATAGACTTGGCCACGTCACCTTAACCAACTAATGATGGGAACCTCCCACAAATTGGCATATGAGTTGCAAACAACAACACAATAGACAAAGCCCTATATCTACAGCTCATACTCATACATTAGCCCTTACTCTCCAAGGAACAGCATCCTTTTAACCCATTAACTCCATCTACTGTATGTCCCATACAATTAATTATATCATTCCCACACAAGTCTAACATGTTTTATAAGATATAAACAATGTGAATAACTTAAGCTGCACAAGAAAAGAAGCTTAGTGTCTACAGCTGCCATAGCTTCTTAAATACTCACTGATAGCTAGTAGTTTTAACTAAAAAGGGTATAGAAACCGTCTATATACTTCTCAGATCCAACAGAAACTTCTAGTATTATTAGTGGTATGTCAAACTTACCGTGGCATGACCAGGCCTCGCCCAAGTGTAGATGAATCCGTCCTGGCACGCCGTCAGGAAGCAGTCCTCGCGAAAGATCAGCGCCGTCAGCCGCTCGTGGGCGATCTTCTTGCAGACCAGCGGCTCCAGCAGTGGGCACTCGTCGAAGCGGGGGCAGGCGGGCGTTCCGATGAGTTGCATGGGGTCGAAGCTGCTCACGCCGGAGCCAGAGCCCGCTCCCGCTCCTGCTCCCGCTCCGGATGCCGACGCTAGGGCGGCCGTGGCCAGCGAGGAGTGGTGCGACGATCGGCCCAGCTTCAGGGATCCAAAGCTGTGCGCCGTCGAACTGCTCCCGATGGCCCCGGCCGCCCCCGAGTCCAGCGTGCTGGAGTGGCCAAAGTTGGAGGAGCTGCTGTGGTTGCTCTGGCTGTGGTTGCCATGACTGTGGTTGTGGTTGTTGTGCCCGCCACTGTGGTTGTGCTGGTTGTAGCTCTTCAGCATGCTCATCGCCTTGCGGTGCTGGCGGTGCGCCGTCGAGTGGCTGCCCTCGTAGCCGCCGGCGGCGGCGGCGGCGGCGGCCTTCTTGTCCGAACTGCTCAGGAAACTGAAGTTCGAGAGCCGCTGCGTGAGGCTGTTGAAGGCGCTGAAGCCGCTGCCCGAATTGGAGGACTTGTTCGAGCTGTTGGAAGTTTTGCTGTTGTAGCCCGAGGTGGACTGCGTCGTTCGCTGGCCACTCCCACTTCCGTTTCCGCCTCCTCCATCGATTCTGTCCGACTTGGTGGCGCTGATGCAGTTGGGGAACTTGATCGAATTGCCCGTGCCGTGGTTACGACTGTTATGCTTCGTGGAGGTCGTCGCTCCCGCTCCCGTTCCCGCAATCGTTCCCGTTCCAGCCACTCCCGATCCGACGCCCGCATTCGAGGACGTGGAGGCGGGAGTGGCGGCCTCGGTGTCGTAGTCGTCGGGCGAGGAATGCGAGGATATCGTGCAGTTGGCGGTGGAGAACTTGCTGGAGCTGCTATTGCTGTGCTCGCCGGCACCGTTGCCTGGACCGCCGCCTCCAGCCGTTTCACGGGCGGGACTGCCGCTGCCCGATTCCGCCTTTTGGCCAGCCGGCTGTCCTGACATGGCCACTGGTCGGATCACCTTGATCTCGTCCTCGGCCTCCGCTTCTTCGTCGAGGCCGCCGTTAAGGTAGCCCCGCTCGCTGTTCGCCCGCTGCCGCAGCGCCAGCGGATGCCGCAGTACGTCCTCCGTGATGTCCCACAGGCAGATCTGGGTGTCCTGGCTGACGGAGCCCAGGCGGTAACTGATGGCCAGCTTGTCCGCCGAGGAGGCGTCCGAGCGGAAGGAGGCCGAGTGGGGTCGATTGCGGGCGGCGTGCACGGGCGTGGAGTTGCGGTCGAAGCCGTCGAAGCCGCCGTTGGCCGTGGAGTCGCCGGAGAAGCGCGCCTCCCGCGAATTGGAGTACTCGTTCATCTGGTTCTCGTCGTCGCTGAAGTCGCCGCCATCCCAGTTGGTGTACGAGGTGGTGTAGGGGTCGAAGGCCACCACCGACACCCAGGAGCGGTGGCCCTGGCCGCGGGCCACCACCCGTCGCTCGTGCAGCGACCACACGGTCACCAGGTCATCCTCGCCGCCCACCACAATGTACTTGCCGTCGGGCGACCAGCAGACGCACAGAAAGCCGCCAAAGTAGGAGCGCGCGATGCCCAGCAGCTCCATGGTGTCGTAGTGAAAGACGCGCAGAAAGCCGTCCTGGGAGACCACCGCCAGCTGGGAGCCGCACGGCGAGAAGCACAACTCGTTCACGCAGCAGTTGTCGGTGCTGAAGACCCACTTGTAGAGCGGATTCCTTGTGGTCTTGGCCTTGCAGGTGAGTATCGTGTAGCCGTCGCCCAGCTTGAAGGGCTGGTAGCTGGGCGCCGTGGCGGCGCAGGGCAGCTCCTCGTTGTACAAGTACAGGTGACCTGAGGCGTGGGCGGCGAGGAACAGGTGCGGCGAGTTGGGCAGCCACTTCAGGCAGGTCACTTTGGTCTTGTCGATCAGCCGCTGTAACGCACACACAATGATTATTATTAGTTGATATATCGAGCGAGTTGGATCGGTTTTGGGATACCCACCTCCTCGTTGAAGAGCTTCCGCACCTCGCGAGGACCCACCTGCGGCGAGACCAACTGGATCTGGCCCGTGGTGAAGCCCACCAGCAAGGGCGCACCCGTGGGCGTGGCCGCGCTCGCGTTGAAGTCGTGACAGCTGGGATTGGTGCCCTTGTAGAACTTCTTATCGATCGGCTTGCTCATCTCCGTGCCCTGAAAGTAAGTCAACAAGCGCGTCAGTCACTATCATCGCCTTCTGTTTATCTTGCTCGTTCTGGATGGGCACTATGCGTTTCTATTTTGAACTATAAGTTAAGTGGTTTAATAAAGCCATTTCGTATACAATAATTTAACTAGGGAAGATGTAACATCATTTATTTAAAGACTTTGCCAATGGACTTTGGAAAAAAAGGATATTGCTATCCTAGCTTGAATACTTTTAATACTAGTATTCAATTATTTTCCTTGGTATGAGTTTCTGTTTTAAACCGGAAGTTGAATTGTTGAATAGAGCATTTTAAGTTGCATGTGAATTTGGAAACATATATTGTATATAACTTTCCCAGTATAAGCTTCTCAATAACTATATGGTGCCCACGAAAGTAATTAAGAGCATTGCATATTATTGCATGACTTAATAATACGACCTTGTTAGTCAAAAATATACCCATTTTTAAGCTCAAGAGGAGTAACTTGAGAATTATTTTAAGTTTAATTTGAGAAACAGGTGGGACTGGGCACGAATCAACAAAAACGAAAGTGAAAACCGGAACAGGTCGGAATATTTCCCCTTGGCCTGAATTTATAATGGAAGTCTCTGGGGGTAGAATTGCCATAATCTCGGAAATTAACACATTCTGGAGCGGCATGGAAATTAACAGCTTGTTGGCGGAATCAGGTGGGAAAAGCCAAGGGCAGGCCCTACCTGAGCGATTGCCAAGTTTTCACTAGCAGATAACTATGGCAACAAAGAAGCCAGCTAAAATAAATACAGAGGCAGAATCGCAAGCTGTTGCTGAACAGAATGCCAAAGAATTAGAAACAGCTGCTGGGCAGGGGAAACAAGGCAAACACAAGCGAGGCGATGAGCACCGATGAGTCGAACTGGGAATGCCCTTTCCAACTGTCTATTAGGATCAAAAAAAAGCCTATTCTGGCTAATTAACAGGGCTTAAACTGCATTGGTTAGGTGTCAGTGGGACAGTGGCTGATTATAATGGGCCTAATCGAAAGGTAGGGTAATCTGCCCGCCGGGATGAGCTCAAAGCGCTCACAGCCGACTGCCTTCGGGCGCAATAAACATTCATAGAAGCGCCAAACAAGCGAATTGATCATCAAGCGCTCCAAGTGGAACAAATTAAGCCCGCTGCTGGGGGACACTAAATGCAAATGGCTGGCAAGGTATTCAAGCCCCTGCCAGCCAATTGGCTGCTGCAATTGCATATCTCTCGGGTGATAAGCTGCTGCACCTCCTCCTTTTCCTCCGCCTTCTCCTCCTCTGATCCCAAAGTGCTTTGGGTTACGGATTCGCCTCACCTTCTTGGCTCCTCGAAAGGAGTAGACATAGAGATCTCTGCCGAAGTTGAAGCAGATGCGGTCGCCGCCCAGCACTTGGCTGGTGGCCACTCCGTTCTGGTCCAGCACTCCGCCGTTCATCATGGAGTGCATGGAGATGCCTCCGCCCAGCCGGGCATCCACTGTGCTGTTGCCCGCATTGCTGCTGCTGCTGTTGTTGTTGTGGTTGTGGTTCTGACTCTGGCTCTGGTTGCTGTGGCTGAAGTTGCTGTCCCCGCCGGCGCCACCATTGGATATTGCTGTGGCAGTGGCTCCGGCTGGCCCAGTTCCAGATGCTGCTCCCGTGGGCGAGGCTCCTGGCGAGCTGCCATTCGTTGTGGTGGCGATGGCGGTGGCGTTGGCCGCTCCCGTGGGTGATCCTGCCCCCGTTTCGCCGCCCAGCTTGCCCTGCGCCGGACTGGGCAGGGTCACCATGGAGACGCGCACCTGCGGCGAGCTCTGGTTGCTACTGTAGCCCACCCGGTTGGGCCGCGAGTACTCGGAGAGGGTCAGCAGGCGGTAGGTGCCCTCGCGGGTGACAAACTGCGTCTTCAGGTCGTCCTTCACACTGGTGTCCAGTTGGTTGGCCATCGCTGGTGCTCCGCTGCTCCTGCTGCTGCTGGTGCTGCTGCTCAGCCACTAATCCACCTCCTCCACTCAGCCCATGTGAATGCCAGGTGCCCGAGGTGCTAGTGGTGGCTCTCCCCTTCGTCTGCCCACCAGAAATTGTTAGTTCTTGCCACTAATTAACCGCCGTGGGGTTGGGCTTGCCCTTTTCTTGTTATAATTAGATTTGATTCCTTCACTACACCGACTTTCGGGGGGCTCTGCTTCTGCTGTTGTTGTTCCTGCCGTTGGAGCTGCGTTTTCCTTGTTTTCTAGCCACTGCGGTGGTTGCCTGCATCACGACGCGGTGGCGGCGGAGTGGGGGTGACGGGGCGGTTATCGCATCGGCCGCACACTCACTTTTATTCCGCACAAATTACTTAATTTATTTCTAGTTTCTGATTGGGATTCTGAACAGTGTGGCTGCCGCTTCTTCCGCCCAGAATACCAAGGGCTGGCCAGAGTGGTCGGGAGGGGCGTGGATTGATGACGCTCTGAGAACTGGTCATACTGATTGGGAGGGAATGCGGGTTTCCTCGTTTTTGTTTTTGTTAATTTCGGGTATAATAATTGGCTATGACAGGAATTTCCAAGACTCTGCTTAGTAAATTCTGCAGAAGAGAATTAAAAGTATTGCAAGCCATTTATTAACACACGTTGCCAGACTGCCAAAAATAACTGCGCAATGGCGTTGCCAGACTATACAAACTAGCTATCTTTTGCTTATGGGTAGCACTGAATTTTTTGGCGGGATATTTGAATTTATTAAGATTGAATGTCAATTTGCAATAGTCAATTATTTTTATTATTAACCATGGTAAGGTCTTTTCTTTTATTATCTGTTCTATAAACTTCTTTTGTGAGTTTATTTTTCCCTATTAGTATTCCTCTTAAAAGTTTTCCATTATTTATGTTCTTTCCCTGTCAATGGGCAAACCAAAGAAATAAATAAAGTTAGACAGAATCCAATGCCAGTGACTTGCGAAATTCCAGTAACTGACAGTATGTGTAAGTGTGTGTGGTGTTAGCCGGAAATGCATTTGGCATGTCCTGCGAAATTGGCCAGTGAAGAAGAAGAACGGGAAAATGAAACAGCTTCTTCGTTGCCTTTCCGCCTTTTGCTCGCTCCATTTTCTTGTTACTTTGCACTGCCAATTGTATTAGAGTTTCCTGCTAAATCTTGTTACGGACATATGTCTTTTGTCTTGGCATTGTCACCCGAGGAATTCTTCTTCAGTTTAGATGGGCCAAGTGGGACGAACCGAGAAGCGACTGCTGCCGAGATGGGCAAACAATTGGCGACCTCGGCGGGCACATCGAACTCGAATCAATCAAGAGCGATTGATAAGAAGGGCCACTTGACGGTAGAGATTTTCGTATAAAAACGACAGATGGCGGGCAGCGAACCACCCACAATCTCGTAAGCCATGCGTCTGCCAGGTGAGTCTGTTCAGTCAAAAGTGGCTTCCCCAAACTCAAGCTGATTATATCCGATTAGCCCTCCTTTGGCCACTAGCCTGCAGCCTGGTGCTGCTCCTGCTTTCGTCCGGAACTCGCTCGCAGTGCAACGATACTCACCAGCCGGGATGTCTCCACAGGGCGGAGCTGAATATCGCCCAGCGCAATTGTCTGGACCCCACGAAGTACTGGCTCTGCTCGGCCATTGGCCAGGAAGCCCAGCTCAAGAAGTGCCAGGCTAATACGGGATTCGACCAGGACCTCAACGCCTGCGTGCCTTGGGTCGCTTGGGTTTGGCAGCCTTGCATCGAGCCGCCCAGTCGTCCACCCGGCTGGACACCCTGTTAAAAAGTATATTTGATTTGGTTCCCTAAATGCATTTCTATATTACTATATGTAGTAACTTACTAATATGTCATTTTCTTCTTACAATTTATATCATCAAGGAAATGGTGGCTTTATAAAAACTTCGCATTTTAAACAGTGTGGTATTTTTCAAATTATTTTTAAAGAGTTTTATTTAACAGAGGCAATAAATATAATTTGCGCTTTTTGGTAATTTTAAGGCTGAAATATTTTCGTGTTGGTTAGGCAGCCTGCTTAATAACAATAACAAAACAACCTTACATGCAATTATGTGGGTTAATATGCATACTTGCTAATTTATTAGTGTTTTATGTTCATCTATATGTAAAATAATATGTGTATCAATGCAATACAATAAGCCATTGGGGCTTAAAACGCAAAATTTGTAAACATAATCTGAATTATATTTATTGCCCAGAATATAAACATATAAATAAAATAGAAAAGTTTATGATGATGACATGTTTTTAAATAAAGACAGTTTAACCATATTTTTTAAAGCTAAAATTGTAGAATGTGTTTTTTATATTTCCTAAATTGAACAATTTATTATACGTAATGTTTACTAGAAAACATATACATCAGTTTGTTTGGCCTGCATTCGTTTGCATTCAGACTAAAAATTATGTCATTGAAATTGTCAGACCTATTTGTGTTTGAAATGCCAAAAACGAAAGGAAACTAAATGTTCTAGCAATTATTTTTGTAGTGCATACAAAGCTAATAAAGGAAACGATGTGAATGTGTCAATTAGGTTGCTTGCTAAGCTCGGTGCCAAATATTTGTGAGGCGGTATATCTCCAGCTCCCCCAGTTCCCCTTCACTTAGTAGTATATCTGGGCAATGTCAAGAGCAAGATCCGCGAGAGCGATAAGTCGCATATCTCTGCTGGCGGCGTGAATCACACATATTTATGATATGCAGCACTCTTTTCTCTCAGTGCCCGGATGGCGGAGAGGGCCGAGCGGGCTGAGTGTATTTTTATGGCAGCGGCGGTGTGATGATCCGCCGATAGCCAGTTGCAATTACAATTGCAATTGTTAACGTGCGGCTTCTGACGGCAGTTAAGCGGCCCCGAATGACAGACCACGCCCCCTCTATCGGGGGCGGGAGCGGGGGCGGTGGGCAATTGGAGTTCGGTTGCCAGCCAAAGCATTTCTCATAAATCAATATGTCAGGGCGGCAGCAGGTCCTATGCTCCCAGTCAACAGTTGGCCACCTCTGCCCACACTCTCTCTCGCTGGCTATAAGTTGCATTTGCACTTGCACTTGCAATTGCACTACTATATTTTTGATGCGCTCGCCCGTGCATTTGGTGCGGGCATTTTATTTCATTTTATTTCATTTCACAGTTGTCAGTCAAACGCTTTGTCAGGCCGGCGAGCACATCAATAAGCGGCAAAAAACACGATTCAATCGAAATTTTATTTCTCGCATTTTGGCGTCGTGCGTGTGAGAGCCAACAAAATATTTGCATGTAAAAGAATTTTTCGCCAGCCGAGCAGAGCGCAAAAAGGAAGAGGTGAAAATTGTGAAATGAAATTTTAGCATACGTGACGTATACGCAATACATTTAATTGCATTGAACACTTACTTTGTTCTCCCATTCCGCTCAATCCAAGAATGCAAGAATGTTTTAAAGTGAGAATAATTCAGTGAATATAATTCCCATGTAATTTGGTTGGCTTAAATCAGAACTAAATTCCCTACCTGCGTGCAGGCAAAATAATGGCCTTGTCTTTGAAAATCTCAAAATACTCGGGAAATGCTACAAATGCCACAAGAATTAGCATAAATCACTGGGGGGCACTGGGACAAGAACAGCGGAGCAAAGTGGGATTTTTGCAGTCAGCCAAGCGCTGTTACCGTCCCGGTAGCTTCATTTAATGGCAGACATTAATAACCCGATTTAATTTATGGCCCCAAACTAACAAAAGCCCAATCCGCAAAACTGAGCAACAAAGGACAGGGGGCGAAATGGCGAAAAGGAGGCCTTTTCCCGACTGCAGCGCTGTGCAGTGCAGTGCGGCAATTACTCAAGTGCGCCAGAACCTAATGTGGCTTAAGGCGCTAGGAGGGAGCTGCTCCCTTTCGTCCGCCGCTGAGCCAGGTAAAATTTGTTGGCCCAGCTCCCAAAAATGCCTTTGAGGCAGTGTTTTGAATTAATTAGCCGGCGTTGGCATTGGCCAAGGCAACACAAAGTGGCTGCTCCGCTTGTTTGCGGCCTGCCCGGCTATCTCTGGAAATAATTTACAGCTGCCGTTGATGTCATGAATATGCAAGCAGCAGGTTGGCTGGGATGAGTGGCTGGCTGGATTGTGGGCGAGGGTGTAGATGTGGTTGTGGGCCCACCTGGACAGCTCTTAGCCAGTGACTGGAGCGGAAGAAACAACAGTGGGGCAAACAAACAGAGCCATAAACTGCCTGCGAAATGGCAAACAAAGTGGGGTGATTCCAGATGAGCTTATCGCGACCACAGTTCCGCTCGATAAGATTTCGGTCTTCCGTGGAGTGTATAAAAAGTGGTCCCAGAATTAGCATAGGTCAGTCCAACGAGATCATTCCAGCAACCCAGCACAAGATGAAGTTCCTGCCCCTGTTCGCTGTGTTCCTAATCCTCGCCTGCTCCTCCCCTTGCCATGGAGCCGCTGTGGCCAAGCCCACTGGTCAGCCTGGCTGCCAAACGGAAGAGGAACTGACGGTGGCCTTCTATCCCCACTTCTTGCTGAAGAGCTCCTTCTGGATTTGCTCCACCCAGGGCGTTCCGGCCACCCTCGGCCAGTGTCCCATTCCCACCGCCTGGCTGGACTCCGTCAAGGCCTGTGTGCCCTGGCCCCAGTGGACCTGGTCACCCACCGCCCTTCCGCCCAGTCAGCCCGAAATTGCTGCCTAGAACTGGAATTAAGCAAATCCAGTGCTTACAAAATAATTGTAATAATATTAAAAAGAAAAACGCTTTTACCACTCTGCAAACAATTTTATAAAAGCATTTGTGGGTCATTTGGTTGCCAAATAGTTTCTGTAATAAGGACATAGCCGCCAATGGAATATTTTAGCACACAACTTTTTTTTGTGCATGTCTGAACCGCAAGTTGCAAATCATTTTAGCAAATAGTTACCTTAGCAACTAACTTTTATCAGAAAAACTAAGCTGACGCAAATATTATAGCTGTAATGTGGTGAGGAGTAGTAAGTCAGCTAGGGATCTTGTTGATTTATTTACTGGCGTTTAATTTGCTGCCTGTTTTTGGAAAATAATATGATAATAAAATGGCCCTTTGTAATCATTCTTAAAATTCTCAGCTACAGAAAACCATCTGTTTAAAGTAGTTTAATGCTTTATAACTGAATCAGAGGTTAAGCATCTGTTTCTCGACTTTCCTTTTTATTTATTGTATAAAAATCAATTAGATTAATTAATCAATTATACTAATTGGAAATGCACACGTTCAATGCTGTTTTGTTGGCTATTGAACAAGTATCCTGATTTACTTTTGACTGGGAATATTATTTTCAAATATTAATTTTGTTTTCTAAGAAAACTTTGATACATTTTTGTTATTGGAAGTATTTCAATCATTCATGTGATTGGATTTACATATTCATTGCCGCATAGTTGGGTTCATAATTAACCAAAAAATATGTTTCTTAATTCTGATACTTTAACTCATCTCCCAATTTCAGCCATGTCCGGACGGGACTACAATGGAGAGCCTGGCTGCCGCAGCCCGGAGGAGCTGCATCAGAGCTTCCGGCATTTCTGGGACCCCACCGCCTACTGGCAGTGCGATGGAGTGGGAAAGGGGGCGGGGGAGCGGGATCATTCCGCCCAGCTGCACCACTGCCCCGCCAATGAGCTGTTCTATGACCGGGAGCGCAAGTGCGTGAAGTGGAAGGACTGGCAGTGGACCGAGCCGCAGGATCCGCCCACAAAGCCGCACAAATAAAACAGCGCACATGTATTGAAACAAATTGTCGAAAATATAATTAAAAAGCGCTTTCCGATTTTAGCCCGGACGAGTGCTGGTTAATTTATGCGTGGACTGATGCTCGAGCTCGAGGATGGGGGCTGGAATATAAGCCGCTTTCGAGAACGGTATTCTGCCCTGCATGTTGATGCTGTCGGGGATTTGCTGTTGTTTTTTGGGGGTACCATACGTGCAACAATTACGAAATGTGCGTGTGGCCCAGCTACCCATCGCCACCCATCGCCACCCATCGCCACCCACTTCGCTTGGACCCTCTGTTTGTTTGTGCAATTTGGTAAATTGACATGACGGCAATTTTCCATGGCCGGGTCCTCGTTGAGCTGCAAGGACTTAACTTCGCTTGCTAGTTTTAATAATTTTTAATTAGCTGCAGCCGAAAGCTCTCAAATGGACAAACAAAATGTGTAGTCAGCTTTGCGGCCATTTCGGGTACCCATTATTTTTCCCGCTTTTGGCCGTCTAATGTAATTGCGCCAAATTTGTTTTGTGTTCCAATTAAATTGAAAATCAAGCGCTTTTAAAGCGGAAAGCGAGTTTAAATAATTGTATTTGAATTTAGAGCAAAAGTGTGTGCCGGCATTCAATCAATATGAAATGCTTTGTGTGATCCATCATTTTTCCCGTCCTTTTCCGTTGCAACGCAGCTGTGGCAAAGCGGTAATCTTTGTTTTTGTTTTCGTTTGGCTTTCTGCTTTCCGTGTGTGCCCTTATTTTTTGTTTATTTTTTTTTGTTTGAAGTCCCACAATTTGATATACACAAATCGATTTACTTGCGCATGCAAATAGCTTTATTTGCTTAGCGATGAAGGAGGAGGAGCAAGACAGCGGCACAAAGGACAAAAGAGGACAGGACTGAAAGAACAAAAACTGTTAACAAAAAGTCGACAGCCGGGCTTGGCTCAGCAGCCAAACAAATTTGCATAAATCGCAGTTGGTAGCACACAACACAGCCAGCACACACGCCCCCATCCTGCCACCCACACATGTGCTTATTCACACTTACAGCTACACATATATGTGTGAGTGTGTGTGTGTGTGTATATATATATATATATATATATCCTGATCCAAAGCGACACTGCCATCGACATCGCCATCGACACGAAGTGAAAGGCGCAAGGACTAAGTGCATGCTTAAGTGTTTTCTTTTCTATTTACGAGCCACAACGTTGGAGTGAGCAGCAGTGTTGTTTGTGTGCTCTGTTGCGGCTTGTGTGCAACCCAACCTCCCAACCACCCAACCACCCATCCGCTCAATCACCTACTCAACTCCACCCTCTCTGCATATGTAAATCAAGGTAAACAGAAATCTGTTACAGCATGATACCATTACAATGACATGCAACGGACCCCAGTCGACGAAACACACGACACACAGGCCACACCTCCTAAGCCCCCAAGAGCCCCAACTTAGCCAGGCCAAAAGCAACACAGAGTAAACTAGATACTTATACACGTGTCTCATATTGACTGCGATATGTTATACAAATGAGATATTGATGCCTCACCATTACAACTCGGTCTACAACAACAGGCCGCCGCCCATTCAGCCATTCAGCCAGCCAGACAGCTTCGTCCTCGAGTGACAGCAAACAACGGGAATAGGAACAGGACTAGGGCAACATCAGCAACAGCAACATCAACATCAGCAACAGCAACAGCAGCAGCATCAGAAGCAGAAACCACTGCACGAAAACTTGACGTAAAAGGAGAGATAGCCTTCAAAGTCCTAGATCAGCCTGTGGGCACACGAGTTGCTTAACCCATTATATATTACGTTTTAAAACCGAACATGGTAGTATTTCAAGAACTGGATTCTTTACACACTCAAAAAAAATGTATTTTAGTACCATATAAACCTCTTGAAATATTAATAAAATATTTTGGTAAAATGTAAGCCTTATAATATATTAATTCAATATTTTTTGTAAAATGTTGCACAATATTATCTATCAAGAAAAATCATATAACTTTGTAAACGCATTTTATTTAATTGGGTAAATATAAATATATATTTTTATATATTGTTAATCTATTGATTTTATTGACTTAATCAAACGTAATAAACAATTTCGGTAGAATTATTTGAAAGCTTTCATTTTTGTTAAATTAAGCCATAAATGGGGTAATTCGCGGATTGCATGGTCGTGCTGTAACTGGTTACTCCATCAAAAGGTGTTCCCTTACGTAACCAGATGCGGCAGAAGGAGACCCACAGGAAAAGGCAACATAAGGAAAGGGAATGGAGAAAGGCTTTCTATGCGCGTGTCCAATCGCAAAGCAATCGAATCACACGGACGGAGATATGCAAGAAATGACTGAGTAATTAGAAATTGAATACCAAAAGCTGCAAGCAGAAAAAATATGTCTAAATGTGACTCTATGCTTTTTTAAAGCTATATTTTTTCTTGAAGAACTTGTTTTTGATGTATTTGTATTTTTATAAGGAACAAAAAAGCTGATAAAAACTGAAATGTATTTGTCCTAAATACTGAATGTTCAGTTACTCAAAATGCAATTACGATCTGTGAGAAAGCAATTTTCAGATCAATATCTCACAACCAACTTTGGCAGTGTGCAAAACCAAAGCCAACTGATTCAAGCACCACCCCAAAACAACAATTACAACTGGGTGGTGGGATTGGGGCAAAATGCAATAACAGAATACAAATTTGAAATGTGCCGGAAATTGAAATCGAAGGCGTTGAAGTGATTTCGTCTCGCAAAAATTCAATTGGAATGGCAACGGCAACGGCAATGGCAACGGCAATGGCAACAATCGAGCACCGCAGCAAATGTCTTGCACAACAACAACCACTTGGACGGCACCCTGAAAAATACCTCCTCCTCGCAGGTCCTTATTGTGGCAAGGCTTCTGGTTACGCGGTTATTTGGGCTCCTTTCACATCCTTCTGCCCGTGCTGGGTGCACAATTTTTCCGCTGCATGCAATTTTAATGCGATTTTGGATTTGATTTGTAACCGAAAAATAAGCCACACAAACTTTGCCCTCTCGAAAGTGGCGCTGCGATGGGTTGTGGTTGCATTGTAGTCGACGTTGTCGTTGCCGTTGTCGTTGTCGCTGCTCCTGTTACCCTTGTTGTTGCTCGCTTGGTTGTTAAGTGCAAATATAAATTCAACGGAGGGCGAAAAGTATGGGCTGAAAGGGCTGAAGGGGTTGCGGAATGCTTTGCACCCAGCAGGGAGCTGGGGGTCAAATATTTATTTGTTGCCGAGCACAAATTTTATGCTGCATACTTTCATGGGCCGCTGCAGCACAATGTGGCACAAGTCACCACCATCACCCATTCTCCCGGCCAACAACAACTGGTAGTGGCGCTGGAAGCGAGGCGCATAAAACCTTCCGCTGCCATTCAAGTGGAAAAGTTTAAGCCAACTTTGCCAGCCCGAAAGCCCCCTTCCCAACAATTCAAGCGCGAAAATGCGCGCACTGAAAAATCATTCAATGGATGCCGCAGAAGAGAAGGGCGGTGCAAATTGAGGGCGGGGGGAGGTGAGTTGGTGTCGCCGCCTGTCACCACGAAGGCCTGCGACTCTAAAAGTGCCAATTATGCCCATTCGACGGGAAGTGCCTTCTACCAATGGCCAGTGAATGGAAGTAAATGGAGTAAGGAGTCAAACGAAAAATTGGAGCGCATTGCGTATGCTCCCTGTTCTCAACTTTATTTATGCGCACCAGCGCATCAAACTTAATTAAAGTAACAACACGTCAACCGGAGGTCAGAGTTCACAGGCCGCTGGCACTTGAGGCCACTACTGGCCCAACTTGAAGAGCGCAACCGCTCGGCAACAATTGTAAACTCAATTAAATCCAAGCACCGCTGCGGCAATGGGTCCAGCAAGTCGGACACTTAACTACTGGCACAAGTTCTCAGCTGGAAAACTCCGGAATGCCTTCTATTTTCCAGGTCCCCTTAAAACACTAAAACAAATTGTAATACAAATAAATACAAACATTAAATAGTATAATGATAATAAATAAGTAGCTTAGCTTTTAAGAAAAACAATGTGCCAATAAGGATCATAATTAAAAACATTCTGCATCTTATAAATTTTATTCCTTCCAAATGATGCCAGGTCTACTTTGTGTACAGTTTTGTATTATAGACTTTTAGCTAAATTTACAGTTTTAAAATCGAATTAAAAATATTTTATATCAAAAACTTAGAAATTTATAATGGGTATATTCCTACATTAAAAAATGCAAAAATTGTAAATCATAAAATACAATATATATATTTATTTATATGTATAAACTAATATAAGATGAATATAAAATAATTAGTTAATCTGATCACAACAGATTAAGTACATTAAAGAAAGGTTATTTTTATCAATTAACTTATATATTAAAATATCTACAAATTTTAAAATTTACATTCATTGATTGTTAGGAACTCTTTTTTCTGAGTGCAGACATTCTTTGGTTAGAGCAAGTCTAGTTGGGTGTGCTGATAACATACGACAGTTGTGACTTTAAAAATCCCGTTTCGCCATTTTTGCACAAAACTTGTGCAGGATTAATGGCCCAGGCATCTATGCAATTAAAATGCAACAACACTGGCAGTGGCAGTGGCAGGAAAAGGAGAACAAGAACGAGAAGAAGAAGGAGCATACACTGGTGATGCAAAAGGGGCACGAAACTGGTGGCAGCAAACAGCTGCAGGAGTGGGCGGAAATGGAGCAGAAAGATTGCTGTGACTTTGGAGCGTTTGAAAACTCGCATGTGTGACGGGACCAGGCCCGGAGATAGCCACGCCACTTTAAAGTGGCTGGCGGGGCAGCAAAACGAGCAGCTGGATCGGGATGGAAAGAGGTGTCGGGAGGTGGCTGCCACACCAGTTAGTGCCCCATGGGAGGATGCGGCACGGCATTGTCCGTTTCCGTACTCGCACACACAACACATAAGGCCTGCTCCTGCTGCTCCTGCTGCTGCTGCTGCTGCTGCTGCTGCTCACCAGCATTGTACGGTTTTTGCCCGCAACGGCCAAAGACAAATAATGCAATTTCCTGACTAACTCATTTGGGGTGGATGTACCGTGCACCGTGCAGCAGAATGGGGCACTGGCACTGCAGTTCCGTGTCACTGACACTTGGCCCTCTGCTGCCTGCCCACTCAGACATTTATTACTAAGTTGGATGGGGCAATCGCAGCGAACGATCAAAGAGCCGGGACTTTTGGTGCAGCATCACGAAAAAAAAAGGGCAGCATCCACCAGATGGATCACTCGCATGCCCAGTAGATCTCGGCAGCCACTTCCACGTGACTCCCTGTGGGGCAGCTGATGCAATCATTGGCAACTTCTGGTTTCACATTGCCCCCTCGCACACACCAGCAAGATTAATGCGGTTCAGCATCGAACTTTAAACTCGTTGTTAGTCCGGCGAGCAGTGCCACCAAGGACCTGCAAGCCACCCCTCGCCAGACGAACATGTGTACAGCCAGCCACCAGGAGCATGTCCTGCAGTTGGTCCTTGCTCCTTGCGCTGGCCCCTGTAATTTGTCCACCACCACCCACCCACTCAGAGTTGTTTGTTTTGCGCAAAAGTTTGCGGCGACAATTGTTTTGCGGTGTTGCACCGAGCCACCCAGCACAATCTCACACACGCATGCACCACTCCGGATTGCGATTTGAAATTTTCTTGAAAATGATTTCCCACTGCCCTGTAATTTCAGCATTTTACCCGCTTGGGGGAAGTCAAGATTTATGGTCGATCGATTTTTGCTGTTCGCCGGATATGTCGCACCCATTTAATGTTGCCTTCAATATGTGTCACTGCTTATCATATCAGCCCCACTCGACCGCCGCTCGTATATCAATTATTTTCCAATCAATTTAAAGTTAATAACATTTCGGTTCGGACACTTTTAATCGCGATGAGTGGACAGTGATTAAAACGCCGGACATATCATCAGCCGTCGGTGCAGTTGCGCAACGAGCGCCACACCGACCACTTGAAGCATCCGAGGTATCCGTCCTGGTCGATGAACGCCTTGCCCTCGGGACAGGGCAGCTCCATTGCGCCCTCGCTGGTGCACAGGTAGAAGCTGGCCACGTCGTCGCAGGCCTGCGGCTGCATCTTGCTGGCCCCCGTGCAGTCGGGCACCTTGGTGTCCAGGTTCACGCAGGAGGCCTGCATCATTTCGGAGGGCAGGCAGCCACTGATGGTGGCGTTGTTCACGAAGTAGTAGCCGTAGTCGCACTCGTCGGTGATCACCTTGCCGTCCAGACAGAAGTAGAACTTGCGGATGTCCTCGCCGCCCCACATCTCGTCCTCCGACTGGCAAACCTCGGTGGCATTGCTCGCAGTTCCCACAGAAGCGGCGTGGCTAAGGGCCAGGAGGCCTAAGAAAATCACAAGGGCTGCAGGAAGATTCAAGAGAATGGGTTTCACATTATAATGTTTCTTTTAAAAAAATAAGTAATATGTTTTCAAATGTCTAGATTACAAAATTGACATCAAGCCTTAATATAAAAATACATAATCTCACAATGTCTAGTATGTAATGCCACTTTATATTGAGTTTATCCTTATTGTTTATGAAATAACAATAGTCAATAGTTGTTTTTGAAATAATACTAGTCGCAAGAACTTAAGGGAAGAACCAAGAAAAATTTCACAATAATTATGTATAATATATGTTACATAAATATTTATATGTATTTAAGGATATTCAACCTAGAACAATATTTTTTATCGTTGATTTACAAATTGAATGTAAGCTAAAACCTACAAAAATGTTAAAGATATTTTAATTTGATGTTTTCAATTAAAATTTTGAAATATAAGCACATAAATCAGAATGCATCAAAAACATAAGAGTTTATTTAAATCAAATATATAAACACTCTTCACTGAATGTCTAAAATTTAAAACGTGTTCTTATGTAAAAAGGATGTTCACAAAAAAGAAATGTAGTGTCCTTTAAAATATCCAATTCTTTAGTTTCTGATCATTTTTCCTCACAATTCACTTAGAACACTCCATGATGTAGGTTAACTGTCAAACCGTTTACCTTTTAGCATGGTGGATCCTTTAAACGCTTCTTCTCGATTCAAATATTAAACACAGACTAAGAGATTTGAGGCCAGCACCTGGGCTTTTATAACATTCAATGCGATCAGGCAGCTTATCGGGCTATTGGCAATGACTTGTTGACACCACCGATGATGAACGTAGTGCGAGGCCTGTTTTTGGCTTCTGGTATTGCCCATACGCAGCGTGGTACGCTTATCGGGTGTTTTTATGCAGATAACTAAGAATTTGCTATTCCGCCTTTTGACAGTTATCACGTCTCAAGTGGTTCAGTGATGAGCTCTTCTAGGAAACGTAGTAACTAAAATTTCGGGGGGCCAAATGCTCGGTTCTCAGTGTCACCTGGTGCTCACGTCTGCGAAACTTTTAATTGAATTCCCTGCCAGAAGCCCACATCGATAGCAAGCCTATTGGAATTTATGTCGATTATATTGTCAACTTTGCCAGTGCTCCTCGAAGTTTGCCTATTTAAACTTGGGACTCGCGTAAATAGAGTGCAAAAAGTAGAGAGAGAGAGCGAAGGCAAGTTGAATTGACAACGTGACTCAACAACAAGACGCGTGGAACTTTTTCCTTTCTTTCCTTTCCTTCTGCATTTTTTGTGTTCAGGTTATGGGCTTCGTGTCCTGGCCGCAAAGTGACTTCTTTCCCGGCGGCAATGGCAGCTGAGCACAGTTTTGGGTGCTCTAAGCCAAATCAATTAGAAGTTTTGACGGCAGCTGGGCCTGCAACTGAATGCCGAGCACTGAACCCCAGAACCTGGGCCGCTGCTCCATTATCGGAGCAGTGGAGCGTAATTAAATTTTCAACTGATTTCTGCAGCAATAATTTCCAATTTGGCTTCATTTGAAAGGCAATTAATGTCGGTGCTATCGGTTAGATAAGGCATGTGTGTGCGAGTGTGTGTGCGTGTGCAGATTCCTATTCGGTAGTCCAAATTAACTGGGCTGTGATTTTAATGGCAATGTGAATCATTGAAGGCATGTTTGCAAAGGCAAATTCTTGCAAACGGCAATCAAACGATAAAGGTAGGAAACTTTTGCCCAGCTCCTGATTGAAATCTTCTCTCTCGTGCTATTCGTTTGGGGACATATCAACCGAGAGCTGAAAACTTTAAACCGGACTGCTTATCTAATCAGCGAACTGCTGCGACGACGACGTCACTGTGGTCCAAAATAAAAATGCCCGAAAAGCCCGATGAAAAATGACTGTAAAAATAGCAGCGATAAGGCAGAGTTGGCTGGGAACATGGAAAGTCATGCAATGAGCATGAGTATAAAAACGAAAGACACTGGCGACGACATCAATCAGTCGAGTCGAGTTTTTCAACAGAAAGCACATAAATTTATTAACGAACCCAACTATGAGGAGCGTGCAAAAATAACCGAATTTACTGGCGAATTGCAATAAGGAAAAATCAGACAATCAGACAATCGGACAATTGGACAGTGAGCGAGCGAACTTTGTGTGTCATAATAAATGCTCCTGTTGCCGTTCGTGATGAAATTATTTATGAAAAATAAATGGAGGTTTTCCCTCTGGATATTGGTCCTGATGCCACTGATGGTGCTGCTGCAGGGGGAGCCCTTCGCTGCCGCTGCCGCTGCCGCTGCCGCTGACACGACCACGAATGCAACATGCAGACACGCCACGGACATGTGGGGAGATCCGGACCCCAACATATTCTACGTGTGCTCGGATGGCGGGCAACCGCTGCAGCTTCTGTGTCCTGCGGGTCGGGGATTTTTCAGCGGTCTCGGCCACCTCGGCTGCCTGCCCTTCGCCCACTGGCCAGCCTGCCGGCCCTCGGAGGAGCAGGTGGCCACCACCACAGCTGGCTGTGACGCTGACGGCCAGTTCGCCTCGCCCTGGGCCTCTCCGGATCCCAATCAATTCTACCTGTGCTCCGGGCCAAATGGCACACCTCTGCTGCTCAACTGCGCCGCCGGCAAGGGGTTCGTGGCCAATTCGGAAGCGACAGGCTGTGCGGATTGGTCACAGTGGCGCCGCCAGATGCAGTGCGAGGCCTACTATTGATCCATGTAGAACCGCTTTCAATAATACCATTTGATGGCCGCTGCTCTTATTTACCACCAACTCGAATCTTATTTAACTTATTGGGTAAACATACTGCGCCATTTGACTCACTAGTTCTATCTGTAAATAAAGTAAAAAGTATATATTTATTTCTGATGTGGGTGTACTTCGTCTGGTGGACTTGTTCAAAACAGTGATAAGAAGGCAACAGCTTGATAACAAAATTAATTTGAAAATAAGAATTTATTGCGTAAAATACCTAAATTAGTATGTATATTTGCGAATTTCTCTTGTTTTGTTACACAGCCATTGCTTGAACTTTGAGCTTGAACTTTAGCCTGCAAATTATTTTGAATTCGCAAGGCTTTCAAATTTTATTTAAATAAAATTAGCCCAATAGTTGAAATATACTATGCACGAAACAATGGAAACAGCAATCATTCCTACAAAAGCAAATTTTTAACTTGTTAATAATTCAGGCAAAAGCAGTTGAGTTCATGCTTCTACGTTGCCAAAGCTTTGTTTTGTGCCATTATATATAATTTATACTTGAGCTCCCAGCTCATTGTTTTGTACTACTTATGGGATTAGTGAATGGCAAATAAGGCCTCATCTGCTGGCATTGCTGTTCACTGCAATTGCTCATTTATTGCTCATTTGAGCATATTAAATGATGGGCCCTAGTGTGCGGCACGCGGGGAAAATCCTTTTAGTACCCACACTCCCGCAAAGCCACGCATTATCCTTTGCCATTACTCTCCTTTATGCCGTCTGTCGTCTGGTGGAAGATGGAAGCTGAAAGCAGAGAGCTGAAAGCTGGAGTTCTAGGGGTCAGCAGCCCCGCCTTTGATGTGCCCCTTTACTTTGTCATGCCCTCATGTGGGGTTATTTTTTACGGCAGCCGCTGTAGCCCGGTGCCAGCCCTCCCTCAGCCTCGCTTACAGGCTTAATCCTTGTGTCGCTGCCGCCATAAAGCATGGCCCAGGTACAACGGCATAAGAATAATGACACATGCAGCTGGGTGTTGCATAAAAAAAAGATGGAGCCGTTGCTCTATCGGAAATTGCATTTTGCTTTGAGCGCGTCCAGGAGCGCAGGAAATTACTGTCAACTGTTAATGCCCTGGATAGGATCACGACACCGCCTTCTGTCCGGGCTTTAATAAATCTTCAATTTGCATATTTCTTTTCGATTTTTGCTTTTGTTTCGCTTCGCTTTGCGCCTGGCCATTAATCAAAGGCATGGGGCGAGGGCAGACAACGTCACGTATACGCAATTTTAATTGCCACTGGTATAAAAGTGTTTAGCCTGCGCTGGGGCTGGCAGTCGGAGAGTTTCAATTTAATTAAATGTTTATTTGCTGTTCTCAGCAGAAATCAATGAAAGCGACTTCTAATTTATTGCGTACCAGAGACCAAGATGACCCGCAGGAATCGGCAGGACTCGCATCCTGCTGACGCAGACAGGAGCAAAGTAATTAAGCGATTGCCAGCAGATGATAATATCCTTTGGAGATACTTCGTCAATGACTTAAAGTGCAGCCGTTTGGGGGAGGACCCCCACAAGTGAGTAATAAATATAGTTTAAGGCAGGCCAATCAGCTGGGAAATCAATAGACCGCCAGCATCATGGTGATGGCTAATAGAGGGCACACTTTGTGCCGCCCAATTCTCCGGGGACCCATGACGCCCCGAACTTGCCCTGTTAAGAGACTTTCCATTTCGTTGATTGCCCCACCGCAGGCGCAATAATATTGATCGTCTGCAAATGCTTTTCGGCTGCCCTTCAATTTATGTCCTCACATTGCTGAAAATTTAACAGAGCTCACAGACGCTCACATGGGGTTATTGTGGCAATGCATATCCCAAATATGGGCAAAAATGTAATGCAAAGGCAGCCACACATTTGGCCATGTCCTGCAAATTTGGCACCAAGGCCACCAGCAACGGTTAAAGCCCGCCCAGGATGCAAACAAAGGGGGGGTCCGTTGCAATTGCTGTTGCCACTGATATACTGTGGTTCACAACAGGAGCGGATTGTCGGGTCATCTTTAGGTTATAATAATCCTTTCTAGTTGGTTTCTACATTTCAACTGCTATATTTAAGCATAAGCAACATTTAACTTATATACTTATATTTAGATTTATATATGTTTTGCTATCTAATCATTATCTTTGTCAATGAAAATGTACAATGTTTTTGGATTTAAAAATAAATAAAAATAAAAATAAAAATAAAAGGAATAAATAATGGAGAAATCAATTGTAAAGCTACTAGTAAGCAATTGTATATTTGGTTAAATCTTTGCGAAATTATTACCAAGGAAATAGTGTTTGTTGTTTAACAAGTGTCTGTCTCAAAAATAAAAAATACAAACTATGTATGTTATACTCTTAGGTGTCCAGCTTAAATGTGTAAAATAGCCACATTGCGAGTAAGTGACCCCTCACAATAATACGTTTTTATGTGCCAAGGCTCATCAGGTAAGTCAGACAGAATGTGATTCATATCTCAAAGTGAAACATAGTGTAAAATGGATCTATTCCCTGTGCAGGAGGCCACCGCACCGCTCCTGACTGCCTGCTGTGGCTTCAATCCATTTACAGGTGTTTGCCCAGAGTCAATGCATACGCAGCCAGCCGTAAAACATTTGTCACATTTGCATTAAAAGCGGCAGCAATCCAGGGACCAGCTTTATGTGTGTTTGCCCACGAGAACCCGAACTCAAACCCGAAACCCATACCCGGCCATGCAATTTACTTGCACAGTGCACTTGCCAATTAATTCTTATCTCAGCAGCAGCCATGCAGGTTGCTTTCCCGGCGACTGCATAAATCAATGTGCCTGAAATGATAACTCATGCGAGAGCTGCAAGCCGAAGGCTGCAGTACAGTTCGACTCAGTATATTCCGGCGCACAAATCGAGTTCTAGATCCGTCGTCCTTCGATTGGAAGGCCCTAAATGAGATGTTACGAGGGCGAAGGAGGCACTGTGTGTGTGTTTGTGTGTGCGGAAACTGCAGCTCACTCAATTTCATGCTGTCAAATGTGCTGGC